AAAAAAAGCGAAAAGTTTGAAGAGTGTGCATTAAGAATGAATAAGAAACCATCAACTGCAAGACATTGAATTGTTTCATAAAATTATTATTAGTTATTAATGGCTGTGAAATGTTCACATATGACGTTTTTTTCTTTGAATATTTGAGCTGTTGAAATTTCCATTCGCAAAAAAATCCTGAATGTCCTCGCGCTGACATGAGAAAAAATATCGCCCTGGCGCAAATATAGGAATTTATCAACAATTTAATCGCTTTCAGCAATTTGTCAGCATTGTGCTATTTTATGGAAAAACCTTTGGTAATTTTGTGATAGTAGGCCATAAGTATGGTTATTGTTGCTGAATGATGAGACGGTCCAAGGTCTAAACTCCAAATTTATATTATTTCCTTCATTTATGAGTTGCATTCGTTCTCTAATCTATTCCATATTCTTATTTGCTGCTGTTTGCAAATCTCAATCTGTCTCAATTTTGTGTCAATGATAAGGAAACGTTTTGATTGGGAGGTTTCAAATGATACGGAAGCAGTTACATAAATGATAAGAAGAAAAACAATTTTNCATAAAGATATTTCGTAAACAACCTCCCACTTGAATGATTCATTTTATGTGGCATTACATTCATACGAAATTCATCTTATGTGCTCCGTTCAGTCGTACGTTCTGTTAATGTATCCAATTGAATCAGACAAAAATTTTTAGATGTGCGATTTATCACTGAATAACCTCGACGAAAGCTTGTGATAATTGACACAACAACAGTCGATCAGATCCAGTCGTTTATCTGCCTCATTCAAAGCGATTTTGCATTTAGTCTGTTGTTGAGCGTATCGAACGAAATGGCAGTTACTCAAACGAGAATGTGGTAATTAAAGCACACTCATTTGTTTATGCTTAAAGATTTGTTTTTTTGCTTTTTGATCATTTCATTGCATTCGTCAAGTTTCACTCGAATTCTGCGGCAGTTCCAGCCAGCATCTTTTGCGGTTGTAGAATGGAATAGCAGTTTCTGTTGGCTGGCTTAGAATAGCACTTTTTATTCAATTCATTGAGCAGGTCCCGTAAAATCGAATGTTTTTGGCGATAATTATGAATGCTAACACGTAATGTGAATTCGTTGTAAACATGTGGAAAAACACATCTTTAAGTGGATTAGAGCTTGGGCATTGTATGGTTTTGTTCCTCGGTGAGATTCTACTGGATTTGTTGATGGATTTTAATGAAGTAATCGGCTGAATATGATGGATTACAGCAGTCAGAGGTGATACGGATGGAGTGCACATTCATGTGCACATACGGAGAGATAGATATGTCAAGATAGATTATGTCAGATATGTGTGTATGTGTGTGTCTGGGAATAAGGGCAAGGGAACAGTGAATGGCTAACTAACAAATAAATTGCACCGCAGAGACAGACTACTACTCGCTAACGATAAGAGTTCACAATTGGAGTGGATTCATCTACTCATTCATTTCAATCATTCATATTTTTGCCCGATGGACAAGCCGAAGAAAGAAATGTGAACGAAATAAAATTAAATTTGCAGTTGCGTCTGCAAATGGTTCGTTGTTGCGGTGGTACCATTGCTGCTATTTTATGCGCTCTTACCGTGTCTGCTTTTTTGCTTTCCGGCATTTATGCAGCATATCTTCTTCCTTAATTTTGGTTCGTTTGGTTTTTTACCTCTCCACTTCATACAACTTTAAAAACTTTCATCTCATTTTAACTAGCTAACAACAACAAGATGTCATAATTGATGGTTTGATTGACGCTCAATGAATTTGTTGGTTTGATTTTTCGGTAGACGTTGTAACAGTGGTAGTAGTTGTTCCGTTCGTATCGAATGAACGACCGACCTCAAATGAAGTGCACTTTTGGTTTCTTTCAGTTGCTGTTGAACATTTAAAAAATAGCATTTCTGCATGTATTCTCTCGTCAGGTTCATTACATCAGAGTTCGAACACTTGCTTGTTCATTTGTGATAACAGAATATTACGTTCAGTTCTGCAAAACTCATATTTCACTTGTCCCATCATTTTTGTGCGAAATACCGACTTTTTTGAGAAATCCGTCCAATTCTGGTTGATTTCAGTGAAGGTACCGTTTCGAGACTACAATAACCCAAATTCATTTGGTGTTCATTCATTAGGTCGTAATTTCTATGTGGAGAGTCGAGATGGTATTCATTTGGGATGCTGGTACGTTCGTTGCACGTTGACATTTCAATGAATGATCATAGTCCAGACTGAGCACATTAAATGTATTAAATCGCTGCTAAGTCATCATGAAATGAAACACGAAGTTTTATGTGACTTCAGAAAAACTTATGATTAAAGTCGGTTTTGACTGGTGCGTATTGGTGCGTAAGAGCGATTTTTATTCTTGATTCTGATGAATTGTCAATGAAAATCGCTTGTTCAACCTATTGTTTCATGCTGAATAGGTGATTCTCATGGTTGAGCATATCGCAAAGCAAATCTCCAGTTGTGCGTATTAATTTTAGGCACATTCTACCTGCATCGCTATCCGAGAAGTTATCAGACCATAAGCAGCCGTTATCTGCCGAGCAATTCGAGCAAACACTATCGGCGCATACCTACCCAGTTATGATCTATTTGCACGGGAATTCATTCGATCGGTAATGCGGATATCCCTTATTATCAGATATCCTCCAAACTTACTTCATATTCCCTTCTATTTTCCGGTTATCCAATCAGTGCATAGTTTTCGAGCATTGGAATAGGATTTCCACATGCATTCTTTCGTTGGAATCCTGAGAGAGTCATTAGATCAGGGTTTCTCAACCGGGTGTATTCGCACCCATTGGGGTGCGAGACAACATTTCATTTTTTACACATTAAAAAAATAGGCGAGGACAGATTTTGACACATACATGTATAATGAAGAAGGCGAGAGTGGACGCACTTTAACGTGTGTAATTGAAAAAAAAAAAAACTAGAACATACTCTAATGGTAGACACTTATCTGCAGTGCAGACAATCGCTGTTTGTAGTGGATGAGAGATATGGAACGGATATTTTGAGGGGTACGAGGACAACATGCAATTTTTTAAGGCATGCGGGCGAGAAAAAAAACTAATGTTGGCATGTTGAAAGTTCCCCATGAAATGTTTGCGCATAGATAAGAGTAGCATTTGTCAGTAAAATTGAAAATCTTTCATTTA